TTTAAGCGGAAGCATCTTTTTAAGGGGTTTTGGTTTAAATTTAGGGTTCTTTGTTTGGGTTTAGGGCGGTTTAGGGTTTAGGGCTCTTTTTTTAAGGGGGTTTAATTTAAAGTGGCTTATAAGGGGACTATAAGGGCCTACTCTTAGGGTTAGGGTTGAGGGTTTGGGGTTACCCAGAGATCCCAATACCCCTTAATTAAAGAATATACCTTAAAATCGTAATATTAAAGCCTCTATAAGTTAAGGTATAATCCTTCATTAAAGGGTGGCGGGTTCTTCTTTTGGGGTTAGGGCGGTTTAGGGTTTGGAGTTAGGCCGGTTTAGGGTTTAGAGTTTAGGGTTTTGGAGTTTAGAGTTTAGGGTTTAGGGTTTAGGGTAAGGAATTCTGTTACCATTACTGTGACTACTACGGTTTTTCTACTACTACTATAACTCTACTACTATGTTATTGCTATTGTTGTTACTGCTACGATTATTAATACACTTGTTAGTATTACTACCACAATTAAGATTAGAGATTCTGATAATTACAATTGTTTTCATTATGACAAGTATTCATCGTATTCCGAATACTGTCGCTATTGGTACAGTTCTTGTTCAGGAATTCTTTATGGGCTTCGGGTTTAAGGTTCTTCTCAAGGAGTTCATCATGATGATGATGATGACGGTGATCATGATGACTACTATTGCATACTACAGATCCCTCTTCTTTTTGGCAACTTCACCAAAACTCGACAACAAGGAAGCCCTATGGTTTACTAATTTACCATAGATCCCTTTTCGAACTCCTCAACAGGAGCCGAGGCTCCCAAAAAGGCTAAAAGCTATCTACTAAACCCTAAACCCTTAGAGAACCCTGACCGTCGGAGAACATTTACAGTAAACTTTTATGTAGCCCTTCGTATCACCTCATATATATATATATACCTGTATAGGGCAGTAACCAATATGGATCCCTCTTCTAACTCCTTAACCCTAAACCCTGAACCCTAAGCCCCTAAACCCTAAAATCTATAAGTTACTACAGATCCCTTTCCTAACTCCTTGAACAAGAGAACCCTAAACCCTATGAGTTACCTTTTGATCCCTCTTCTAAACCCCTAAACACGAGCAGAACCCGTAAAGATCCGTTAGAGATCCCTTATAGATCCTGCAGAGATCCCTAAGGAGATCCTCTAGAGATCCCTTCAACAAAGGAACCCCCTGAAGGAGCCCTTTACGGAGCTCTTGAAGGAAGCCGTTAAAGGAACCCCTTTGCAGGAAGCCGTTGGGGAAACCCCTCAAAGAAACCATCAAAGAAACCCTTGAAGGAGCAATTGTACACGAACCCCCAGAGAAGCCTCTTAAAGGAGCCCATAAAGACCCCCTTAAAGGAACCCCTTAAAGAAACCATTACAGAGATCTAGAAAAAGGGCCCCCAAAAAGAGAAACCTTACCGGAACAATCCTTTAAGAGATCTCCCCTTAAAGGAACCCCCTAATGGAAGCCCGAAAAGGAGCCCCTTTAAAAGGAGCCCCTTTACAAGGAGCCCCTTTAAAAGGAGCCCCTTAAAGAAACCCCTTAAAGAAACCCCTTAAAGGAGCCCCTTAAAGAAACCCCTTAAAGGAGCCCCTTAAAGAAACCCCTCAAAGAACCCCCTTAAAGGAACCCCTTAAAGAAACCCTTCAAAAGAGCCTTTTAAAAGTAAAAGGAGCGCCCCCTAAAGGAGCCCTTTAAACAAACCCCTGAAAGGAGCCCCTTACTAGTAGTAGTAGTAGTAGTAGTAGTAGTAGTAGTAGTAGTAGTAGTAGTAGTAGTAGTAGTAGTAGTAGTAGTAGTAGTAGTAGCACGGTAAAAGGAGTGCCCCCTAAAGGAGCCATTTAAAGAAACCCCTTAGAGAAACCCCTTAAAGGAGCCCCTTAAAGGAACCCCTAAAGAAACCCCTTAAAGGAACCCTTAAAGGAGCCCCTTAAAGAAACCCCTCAAAGAACCCCCTTAAAGGAACCCCTTAAAGAAACCCTTCAAAAGAGCCCTTTAAAAGTAAAAGGAGCGCCCCCTAAAGGAGCCCTTTAAACAAACCCCTGAAAGGAGCCCCTTACTAGTAGTAGTAGTAGTAGTAGTAGTAGTAGAAGTAGTAGTAGTAGTAATAGTAGTAGTAGTAGTAGTAGTAGTAGTAGTAGTAGTAGTAGCACGGTAAAAGGAGTGCCCCCTAAAGGAGCCATTTAAAGAAACCCCTTAGAGAAACCCCTTAAAGGAGCCCCTTAAAGGAACCCCTAAAGAAACCCCTTAAAGGAACCCTTAAAGGAGCCCCTCAAAGGAACCCCTTAAAGAAACCCCTTAAAGGAGCCCCTTTAAAGAAACCCCTTAAAGGAACCCTTAAAGGAGCCCCTTAAAGGAACCCTTAAAGAAACCCCTTAAAGGAACCCTTAAAGGAGCCTCTTAAAGGAACCCTTAAAGAAACCCCTTAAAGGAACCCTTAAAGGAGCCCCTTAAAGGAACCCCTTAAAGAAACCCCTTAAAGGAGCCCCTTTAAAGAAACCCCTTAAAGAAACCCCTTAAAGGAGCCCCTTAAAGAAACCCCTTAAAGAAACCCCTTTAAAGAAACCCCTTAAAGGAGCCTCTTAAAGGAACCCTTAAAGAAACCCCTTAAAGGAACCCTTAAAGGAGCCCCTTAAAGGAACCCCTTAAAGAAACCCCTTAAAGGAGCCCCTTTAAAGAAACCCCTTAAAGAAACCCCTTAAAGGAGCCCCTTAAAGAAACCCCTTAAAGAAACCCCTTTAAAGAAACCCCTTAAAGGAGCCCTTTAATCGGAGCCCTTTAAAAGGAGTGCCTAAACCCTAAACCCGAACCCTAAACCCTAAAGCCTCACTAAGGAACCCCTTATATAAAGGAACCCTTAAAGGAACTCCTTAAAGGAACCCTTAAAGGAGCCCCTTAAAGAAACCCCTTAAAGGAGCCCTTTAATCGGAGCCCCTTTAAAAGGAGTGCCTAAACCCTAAACCCTAAACCCTAAACCCTAACCCCAAACCCTAAACCCTAAACCCTAAACCCTAAACCCGAACCCTAAACCCTAACCCCAAACCCTAAACCCTAAACCCTAAACCCTAAACCCTAAACCCCTAAAGGAGCCAAAAAGGCTCTGGCGGCTCCTGGGGCTTTGGCGAGGCCTCTGCGGGCTCCTGGGCCCAGGAACTCCGAATCTCGGCCTCCACGCGGTCGATCCACCCACTCTTCAGGAGCTCCTCTTTAGTGAGGCTTTAGGGTTAGGGTTTAGGGTTTAGGGTTTAGGGTTTAGGGTTTAAGGTTTAGGGTTCAGGGTTTAGGGTTTTTGTTGGTTGCTGAGTTCATAAACCGCAAGAAACTGCACACTGTCAGGTCTGTAAGGGTCGATGTTCTCCCACAAAAAGTGTAAAAGGTGCCCTCATTCGGCTTCGAAGTCCTCAATCTCTGCATCGGAATCCTCCTCCAGGTCCACTGCTGCCTTGGGCGCGCGGGCGCTCCTCTCGTGGCCGAAGAGCGACTGCTGAAGATCGCCGGGGACTCTGAAGCCAAGAAGGCCCAAGTTTTCAAGCAGCTGCTGGATCCCGGATTCCTTGATCTCCCAGGCCTGGGGGAGGGTTTAGGGTTTAGGGTCGTAGAGTCTATATAGGGTTTAGGGTTTTAAGGTTTTAGGATTTTAGGGTTTGGGGCTTAGGGTTTAGGGTTTCGGGTTTCTGTTTAGGGTTGAGGGGAAAAGCGCTGAATGTCTGGATCCTTATTGTGAGTATCACTTTGACTCTTCACTTTGATTCTGATCATTGTCATTATTCGTAAAGATGTGTATTGCTAATGATGAATGTTGCAAGGACCCTTAAAGAGGGGGATATAGTGAGGATAGCAAGACCTTTATGCATACAGTGCTGCATACATATACGGCTGATGATATAAATCCTGAATTACCCATAATGAGGAAAATACCATAATTCCCATATTCTAATTAGGGTCCTTAAGGTAATGCAGGATTTAAATCATCAACCGTAGTATAAGGACCCCTTGAAGAAGGATCCCAAAGGTTCTGTATCCCCCGGACCTTCAGAGCCTGATCGAACTTGGCGTCGGGCAGCCGTTTCACGGCCTGCACCATGGAATCAAAGAAGCCTCTCCGGATCCTCCGCACTGCCTCGTCATTATCCTGGGCTCTTGGTTTAGGGTTTAGGGTTTGGAGGTTTAGGGTTTAGGGCTTCGGGTTTAAGGTACGGAATGTAATTAAGTTACAGTGGAATAGGAATCTGTAGTAGATAATCTGTAGTCTATTTTAGAAAGATTTGATCTAAAGAATATGGTGTCCTTGTTGTGGAGCCAAGTATCCCACTCTGTTTTGATTTCTGCCAGACAGCTGAGCCCTTTGGCCCTTAAAGAAATCCGCGCCCAGGGAGCCGTAGCCGGTGGATGTAGCAGATGGACATCCGCGGTCATGTTTTAAAATTGAGCAGACAGGAATCTCTTCTGACTCTGCTACGTTCGATGATGTTCACCTGGGACTATACCACTGCTTGAGGCAGAAGTCGCACACATTCCTTACTAGCGGCATAAATGCAACCCGCGACGTTGCATCCATGTATTTCTACCGCCCCTGCGCGGCACAAGATTTGGACAGTGAGCATCGTTTCTGTCCATGCATGGCGTCGCTGTAGCCGTTCTGGGGCTGCGGACGTTGCCAAGAATGGTTCCGAAGCTACGAGCAAAACCAATCCATGTGCAGTTAACCGAAGTGAAGACGCAGCCGCAACCCTCAGATACCACCCCACTGAAGCCACCCCACTGAAGCCGTAAACCTAAACCCCAAGAGCCAAGCCCAAACCCTGAACCCCAACCCCTAAACCCTAAACCTTAACCCTACAGTAGAAGCCAGAAAGTTGGAATATCATTATCGTAACCCCTTTAAGGTAAATTAGAGGGGATCCTACCATGAATCCATATTCCAACTTTCTGGAGTTCCCTTTAAACCCTGAACCCCACTAAGCGGGGGAAGCTGGGGGAACCCGAGTCTGCCGGGAGGTCGATGCCGTCGAAGGCAGGAAAGTCCTGCGAGAGACGAGCAGAGATCTAGATTGGAAGCTGCCGCCACCGTTTAGGGTTTAGGGTTTAGGGTTTAGGGTCTAGGGTTTAGGGTTTAGGGTTTAGGGTTTAGGATTGGAAGCTGCCCCCACCCTGTAATAGTGACCATAACGATTATATAGGATTATATTAGGGCCCTATTATATTCCTATTATACCACTATTACAGGGTAGGGGCAGCTTCTAAGATCTAGAGATCTACGATTGATGATATGAATCCTGCATTATCCAGAACAAGGAACATTAATAATAATAAAAATAATATATAGTTAGATATCTATTTAATAACAAAAATAATATATAGTTATATAATTATTTGTAATATAATAAGATAAAAAATAATCTAAGAATAATATAATAATAAGGAACAAACCATAATTCCCAGAGTCTAGGGTCATAAAGTAATGCAGGATTTATATCATCAATCGTATGACCACTGCTCTACGAATCGCAAGGGCATCGCATTTTTTGCCTTGCGGCACACCTACGGAACGTTTCACGCAGGAATCGCGCTTCGCACTGAATCGCTGCGCAAAGGGTTTGAGCAAAGTCTGCGCCACTGCAAGACATCCTCAAAACCGGAAACTCGAAACGCATGAGAATACGACGCTGGAACACAGGGACAGCTAGCCACGACACAAGCTGCAGGGTGCCGTGACCAGGATGTCAATCCGCAGCACGATTCCTGTCACTCGCAGGGCCAGGGGACTTAGTAAGTCGGTGCTAAGCGCGGCCATAACTGGAGTATCTCCATTTAGGGTACTTATAGCTCTACTTATAACCTCTGATTACGAAATCCCCTGGGCTCTAAGTATGCGAATGCCACATAAGCCGGCTTGACCCTTCTAAGGTCCACGACCCCAAAACCCAAAACCCTAAACCCTGAACCCCAAAACCCAAAGCCCTAAACCCCAAATCCTAAACCCTAAACCTCCAAACCCTAAACCCCCCAAACCTTAACCCCCGAACCTCTAAACCCTAAACCCCATTTTATCAAACTCCCAAAAGGCGACTTCTCAAAGCATCCAGAGACTCCAAAACCCCTTCATTGCGGAAGACGCCTGAAAGTATAGGGGGGTCCCTAAACCCTAAACCCTTACTATGGCTTGAGGTATATATATATATATATATCTGAAAATATGGGTGTCCCTAAACCCCAAACCCTTATATACTATTGCGTCAAGTATATATACCTGCCCTACGCCCTTATTACCTTAACCCCAAATAACCTCCTTTTTTAGGGACAATATAAAGAAATCATATTAGGGGGCCCTAAAAAAAGTAGGTTTCTTAGGGTCCACGTATGGTCTATGGCGTATTCCTGGGAGTCTTCGCACAGCTCCAGGCCTCAGAGTGCCATCAAAGCGAGAACCTGAGAAGCGTCTCTCTGGAATAGGGCTCCAGAGACTCCAATATTCCCTTAAATTATAGTAAGACCCTTAATATGATTTAAGGTATATTCCCTAATCAAGGAATATTGGAGTCTCTGGGGCTTTGAAAGCATACTATCGCACAAGTTTGTCATACTATATTATACTATGCTGTGCCATATGCCATATTCCTCGAGAATAAACGTTCTATACTAGACTATACTATACTGTACTGTACTATCACTATAGTAAGACTACTAAGAGCACGGCTCAGCGAACTTGTGTGGAGAAGCTGATCAAAAACCTGTGCAGCCCGGGGATAGCGTAGGAGAGATGCTGCGATTGCTCACACGTGCAAACGCGCCTCTATCAGGATTTCCCGTGAAGATACGATGCCCTGGAGCAAGGCAACATGAGATTCCACGCACACCTCTCCATGATGTCCAAACTGCGGCGCACCACTATGCGCGCAATCTCGTTGGAGGACAGGAACAGTCTTTGCAACCTCCGTGGAACAAGCGTAGCAAAGTGCGTTACACCATCTCGGCTCCTACAACATTCCTCCTTTGGCAGCCGCATGCATCGAGAAAGCCTATGTGATGCCTTCCTTGCCATTAAACCTAAATCCCAAACCCCGGACGCAGAACCCTGGTCCACAGACAACCCAAAACCCCAAACCCTGAACCGTAAACCCGAAACCCTATAAACCTTAAGAAGCCCTGCATCCCAAGCCCTAAAAATCCGAAGACATGGCACTTCAGTTGCATGGGCCAAATGGGAGCTTCCGAAAGGTAGGGGTACCTCATGTTGGGAGTCCTTCTCATAAGGATCCTACTATTTAGGGCACTATGTTAGGGTCGGGTCCCTTATTATCGGAAACTCCCAAATCCGCTTCTGAGGTGGGCGCTTGGAGGCGAGCAGTCGCGTGGCAAGCACGTGCAAGGTTTCATGGTGGTCGACAGAAACTACCTGGGACGAGAAGAGAGGGGTTTAGGGTTTTGGGGATGTTTAGGGATTTGGAATGTTTATGGTTTAGGTTCAGGGTTTAGTCTCATACTTTACTTTAGGGTTTAGGTTAGTGGCTTAGGGTTTACGGGTACTATAGGGGCCTAACTAATTACCAATACTATTTTTGGGGGTTCCTAACTATAGTTATACTATAACGGGCCCCAAACTCTATTCTAATTATGAAGGCCCCTATATTAAGTGGCCCCACCAGTTCCAAAGAGGTGCCTGTGGACTCTCTGACTGCTAAACCAGACGAAGCAATGTTGACACCTGCTGTTCCACGTAAGGATTGAGGTTTAATGTCTGGGGTTTAGGTTCTATATGGGGGCTGTTCTAAATTATGGTCCCTTTTTGGGTACCCTATATAATAAGGACTATACTACTATAGGGTACCCCAAAAACGGACCATAATTTAGAACAACCCCCATATAGGGGTCTTGCGGGTTGAGGAAGGTGTGACACTTTAGATCAGCTTAAGGATTCAGCTCTAAACCATTCGAAACCCTAAACCCGAAGCCCTAAGCCTTCAGTCTCGGGCGTTGAATCTCCGCAGACTCTGGTACCGAACCATCTTCGCAGAATCTACAGCCACCACCTCGGCAATTCGGGTTCGAAAGCCTCTGAGCGCCAATCCAAGGCTCTGAAACAGCAAAATTGGGCCACGGACGTGCTGCCGCCAGCAAAGGAAATCATCGATGCTGTAGTCCAGCACATGATACCTCCAAAGCCCTAGGCCCTAGGCTCCAAACCTTTGACCCCTAGACCCGAAAGCCCTAAACCCTAAACACACGAAACCTCCAAGGCCCAGAAAGCCGGGCCCCAAAAGGTGGGATGAAGGTAGGTAGGATGAAGGATCCCTGATATAAGGACTCTTAGTTTGGTGTTTAGGGTTTAAGGTTTATGGTTTAGGGTTTAAGGTTTAGGGTTTACAGTTGGGATTACCCCACCCTACCTCCATCCCACCCTTGGGGCCCCTTGATCTCGGGGCCGAACTCATCGGACTCAAAGACCTGGCCCGCTGGCGGCGCTGGGCTCAAGTAGGGTTTAGGGGCTTAGGGTTTAGGGGTTTAGGGGTTTAGGGTTTAGGATACAGAATTCGACTAGAAACTTATGGTTTCGGGGCTATGGGGGGTTGCAGGGAGTCAAGGGTTGAGGGGGTTTTGGTGGTTTTGGGGGTTTTGGGGGCTCTAGGGGGTTTAGGGCTTAGGGGTTTTGGGGCTTAGGGGTTGCCGGGGGGGGGGTTTAGAGCAAGCTTCGCCGGCATCGCCAGCTTCAGGTCCGCAACTGCAACCACACCAACGGCCACTGCACCGCCCATGTCTCCAGAAAGCTCTTGAGAGGTAGCTGGACCTCTCAGACAGAGAGACTTTTTGTAAACAAACAACCCACGGATAAAAAGCCCTCTCTCTCTCTCTCTCTCTCTCTCTCTTTCTCTCTGCACAAAAACAGCAGCAAGTTTGTAGCTCACGAAGAGTGCACGTTCGCAGCTCTTGGTGGGCCACATATTGTCAGCTTCTCTGCATCCATGATTTGCCTTTGCTGCGCTTGGCCGCATGGGGCGGGGGTGATGTTTTGTCGGATTGACACCTGCGGCCGTGGTGCAAAGCATGCAGCACTGTGTCGTCGCGTGGCACCGAGAGCGCCTGCAGGCATCCCACAGCCAAGGATTGAAGCGAATAGGTTTGTTGAGTTCATTGGATTGTCATGGTAATCGCAATGCGGCAAGCTTGATGGCCTGCAGTACTGCATTTCGGCGATCGAACGTCCGTGCTTCCTGCCCAACGAAGCGAGGAAGTAAACAGAGGGCTCTAACCCTAAACCCTAAACTCCTAAACCCCTAACTCCTAATGGACCCCAAACGCCTAATTCCATGCAGCATCCCTGAGCTCAGAAGACAGCGGTGTCCCGCGATTTCAGCACTGCTGACGGCGTGTCGAAGCCTCGGAAACGGATCTGAGAACGAGATCAGGGCCGATCCTTCAGCAGCTTAGGGCTTTGGGGTTTAGGGTTTAAGGGTTTAGGGTTCAAGGGTTTAGGGTTTAGGGTTTAAGGGTTTAGGGTTTAAGGGTTTAGGGTACAGGGTTTAGGGTTCAGGGTTGAAAGGGTTTAGGGTTTTAAGTTTTGGGGCTTTAAAGGTTTAAGGTTCAAGGTCTCGGGTTCATCGCGTGCACTTGTGCTGAAAGGGACATTCCCCAACATCCTTCACGCAAACTACCCGCCTAAAGGAGCATACGGGATCGAGTCCTCCCCTACTTTACGTTAGGATCGATGCTATTTCGGGGGGTCCCTCGGTTTACGGAGTCCTGGTAATAAGGATAGTACTGCCTAGGGTCGACCTGTTGTTTGAAGGGGGGGGGGGGGGTCCTTCACATTTTCCGAAACTCTTAAGAAGTTACTAATCAGAGTCTCCCTTGAGATCCCTCTTACAAACCGGGAAGCGAAGTCTAAAGACGCCTATACTCAACTCTATAAAGCAGACCCCTAAAGAAGGAACCCATCCATGTTGCTCCTAGTTTGCTCCTAAAACCTAAACCCCTAAAGCCCTGAAACCTCTCTAAAGGAACCCTCATGTTTCGTTCCTGAACCCTTA